CCCTCAGACTTTTTACCCTGGTTCTGACCCCCCTCAGACTTTTTGCCCTGGTTCTGACCCCCCTCAGACTTTTTGCTCTGGTTCTGACCCCCCTCTGACTTTCTGCCCTGGATTGGCATCCCCTCTATTTTTTTGCCCTGATTCTGGGCATTCTCTGCCTTTTTGCCTTGATTCTGGGTCCCCTCAACATTTTTGCCTTGGTTAGGCGGAGTTCCCTCCACTTTTTTCCCCTGGCTGGGGGTTCCTTCTGACTTTTTGCCTTGGTTGGGCTCTGTCTTTTTGCCCTGAGCTGGGGCACTGGCCTTGGCACCCACAGGGGGCACAGCCATCATAGGCACCTCCTTGCGAGCACCATCCAGGATGGCAGCCTTTGAGGTGAGAACCTGGATGGAATTCACAATAGGACTGACTGCTGGTTCCACCTTTGCCACTTTTTTCTCCTTCTTCTTTTTGTCCTTAGGGGAGGGAGCCGGCTTCTCTTGGGGCATGGCTGATACTGTAGCTACAGGGGGGAAGACCACGTGGGGCTGGACTGAGCTTGACATCACAGGAACAGCAGGAACTCGCCGCACTGGTTCTTTCAGAAGGATGGTCACATTAGGGGCTGACTCATTCTCAGGTATCTTCCCATTGGGTTTCTCCTCCTTTTTCTTGGTCTTTCCTTTCTTCTCTACTGTTTTCTCCTTCTTTTTCTTTTCCACTTTCAGATGGTGATTGGTTTTCGCCATCTCCCTGCGCTGGTTGGCTAGGGCTTCTTCATATGATGTCTCTTTCATGGAAAATGTTGACACCAGGAAGATGCCGATCGCAGAGACAATCATAAATCCACCGAAGACTACAACTCCCAAGGTCTGAGTGTCGTAAATATCCATGCTGGCTTGTTTTCCTTTCACCTGCCAAATACAGAGAAAGATTAATCTTATGGAGAAATGGAAACACCAGTTTCCAGTCTCATCCATCCCAAAGTTCCACTAATCCTCCGTTTAGATTAAAAAGTTCAGAAAACAAATGCAGGCAATATGATATAACACATTAATGCTTAATCCTCTCCAGAAAGGAACTGTTTTCACTCAAGATATACGAAGTCCTATTACAGGCGGGAGATAGGAAATAACATGAGCTTATTGTAGCAGGCAACATCTGCAGACTCAGAGGTCAGGATCCCAATTCAAAATGTTCTCTGTCATCACACATGACCACAAGTACAGACAGGTGTGGAACAAATGTGTGTGGTGGGGATAGGACGCTCTCCCTCAGTATAGTAGGACCACGTGAATCACCACAGCAGACTGTGGAGGAGACATCATTGAGTTGTTGATCAAACTTTGGATTTTTCACATTAGGCCAGAAATATTTTCCCTCCCCTTCAAAGTGAAATTAGCGGATTTAAAAAACCATGTGAGTCATATAAAACCTATGCAGACTTCCAGCCATGTACATTTTGCCCAAAAAGTGCCACCTCTTCCTTGTTGCTTCCCTTCTCCCCAGAGGCAAAACACCACTACTCAGTCAGATAAGTCTCTTCATATATGATCCTAAAAAGTGTTAAAAATTTTGGTGAGGGTTTTTTTGCCTGTGACCACTCCTAAGGCACGATTTGTATATGGGCATGCAGGTGGTGGGATCAGAGAGCAGGGCAACGACTAAGGGTGACAGAAGAAGAATCAATGCCTTCGAGTTGTGCTGGAGAAGAGCACTGACTGTATCATGGACTGCCATGAGAACAAATAGGTCTGTCCTAAAGAGGGTGAAACCACGTTTTTCCTTAAAGACAAGGATTCTGAAGCTCTATCTCACATACTCCGGGCATGTTGTCAGGAGGGAGCAGTCCTTGGAAAAAGGAAATCATGCTTGGAAAGGTGGAGGGAAAAGTGCAGGAGAGGAAGATCTTGGACGAGATGGACTGACATAGTAATTGGGGTAATAGGGGCAGGCATGTCAGCACGGAAAGACAAAGCAAAGTATTATAATGACATGTGCAAAGAAATGGAGTCTGAAAATCAAAAGGGCTGAACTTACTTGGCATTTCCTAAGCTGAAGTAACTAGAGTAAATTAAAGCGGGGGGGGGGGAACCCCAAAAGCATATGGCTGGATTTTAAGTTCAGTGCAGCAGTTTATCTTTTTAACTCGGATGCATAGGCCATCTACATTTATTATGATTGCCTATCTAATTAGATTAATTTATAGCTTTACAGCCTTAACTTTTTAGCTTTATGTTGTACTACTTACATCTTTTCTTTGCTCATTTCTCCATCTTTCTTCGTTCTACTAAATCATTCAAGGTTTATTCTGACATCTTCCCTCTGTGGTTTGGAAGCTATCTGCTTGATCTCCATTTATTCAGTGAATAACAATTTGTTGCAGTAGAGCTGAATTTCAATTCATAGTGACCATGACAGAACAGAACTGTTCTATAGGGTTTACAAGGCTGTAATCATTACGGGAGCAGATTGCCACATTTTTTATTTTTGAGTGGCAGTTGGTTTGAACTGCTGACCTTTTAGTTGGAGAGTACTTTACTACTGTATCACCAAGGCTTCTTTTCTTTATAAATAGCTCACTGCCATTAAGTTGGCTCTGAGCAACAGCAAGCTTCTGGAGGACTCTGTCCATCCTGCTACCTAGAGATACTAGGGGATTCCAGGAGCTGTTGGTTAGCTACAAAACTTGCTAAGAACTTTGCAACACATTTTTAAAAACAAGATTTTTAAAAAATACCATTTAGGGTCCTTCCATACAAAACTCTGTCTTTCCATATAAATTATGTCCTTCCATACAAACTTCTTCATGGATTTCTCATTGTTTCTTTTCAGTTTCACCTTCTTTTCTGTACTTTGAAGGAACAGTTACAGAGTAAAGTGGATTTCCATTCATTTACACACATTATTTTATGACATTAATTGTTGCTGTGTACAGTCAAGCTGAAACCAACCGACAGCTGACCCTCCGGCAGGTTTTCACAAGCTGTCATTCATACGAGAGGAGACTGCCCATCCTTCTCCCCAGCTGGTGGAATCGAACACCTTTAAGACTGTGGTGCAGCTTCTTACCACTAGGGTACCAGATTAATTATAATTACACCACCATAATGTAACAGCCCTATTCTCATTTCCTCCCTGGAATTGTTTCCATTTATCCTTCTCATTGTCAGGTGCCATCTAGTCAATGCAGACTCACATAACCCTTGCTTTTAAAGGTCCATCTGGGGATGCAATAAAGTATTTTAGGTATGTATCTTTTTTCAGGATCATTGTATTTGCTTAATTTGAAAAGAAAATGTCTTTCACTGGTTTGAAAGATACCCTTGGCCTCAGTTTTCTGATATTGTCTTAGTTCTAGTCTCTCACAGCAGAACTTTTACTTGGGCTTCAATCTCTGTGCTGTCATTTGAAGAACTTCTCATACCATTACCAATTTCCTCCTCTCTTGAGTCTACCCAACTTTGTAATCAGATTGCTGCACAATTCTACTTGTTTTTCCCAAGTCCACCTGGTTTTATATTTTTAAAAAATTTTTTATTTTTCATAACCTTCCTTTGCATACCTTTAATAATGATTGATTTTAACTATGAATTCATCATTAGTGGGACTTAAGAGTAAAAATTCTCTATGAGCTGTGCTCGTCCCTACAGAACTACTTCATCTTTGCTCCTGGGAAATCACCAGCCTAGTACTAAGTTGTATTATAGGCATGGCCTCCTGTTATAAATTTTTGGGACAGAGTTCCTCCTCAGTATCAGGGCAAAACAGGTAAGTTCTCACATGCCATCTCCCAGTGACATGCCAGACTTTCCCTAGTCTTTCTTTTCAATGAAGGTGCAGTCCTTGAAGTAAGTGTGTGGGTCTGAATTGTTGAAGGGAGGCTAGTCTCCAGTTCTAAGTTAACCAATTCTTCCTGAGTCCATCCCAACTCACAGGCACTCCAGGGCAGAGTAGAGAACTATATCATATTTTCCAAGGTTGTAATCAAATAAACAAATGGTTTCCTCCCATTTGCTGGTGGGTTTGAACCAGACATTTTGGTTAGCAGCTAAGCATTTTAACCACCTCAATTCCAGGACACACTCGCTCTTCTGTACCCTCACCGGCACCAATTTCAACTCACAGAGTCTCTCCATTGTGCTTCAAAGGCTTTCAGAAAGGCTGTCTCATCTGCAGCTGGTGGGTTCAAACTGTCATGGTTAGCATCCCCTTATCCCTCTCCACCTTGTTAGGTGTCATCAAGTCGACTATGATTCACAGCATCCCTATGAACAACAGATCTGAACCCTACCCTATCCTGCGTCTTATAGGGAGGTCTCCCTCTCTTTCTGACCCTTCTTTCCCAGGCTGATGTCCTACTCCAAAGTTATGTCCCTCCTTACAAAATGCCCAAAGTAGGTGAGACAAGTTCTAATTTCCTTGCCATTTAACAAGCACCTGGTTGCACTTCCTCCAAGAGAGACACTTTGTTCTTTAGGCAATCCATGAGTGGTTGGAGTGGGTTGGAGGGGGAGGTTTGGTGGGAGTTGTAGAAGAGGAAAAAGAAGACAAGTCAAAGTCCACCAGGAGACTCCCTCTTCAGCACAACTCAAAGGCCAAGTCTTCTATCATCTTTAATTACTATTCAACTTTCACATGCATAAGTCAATGAAAATTGCATGGCTTAAATCAGGCAGTCTTTAAACCGTCATCATTAATACTCTGGGAAAGTCTTTGACTACTAAATTTTGCCTACGCAATATTTTGATTTCTTGACAACTGTTACCATTGGTAAATTGTAACCAAGGATTCAAGTACAACCCCAAGCTCTTCTAAACTGACAGATGGCTAGCTCACAATAAACGAAATACATTCCAGGGTCCGTTTACTCTGTCACTTCCCTCACCCCTCACCTTAGGCAATTCCTTTACTGCTTATGCTTTTAAATAAGGATTTAAACGTTGTCTAGCATTATTAAGTATGTGTAAAGGAATGCTTCCAGACCATCTAATTGAAAATTTTAAGTGTACTTTTTTATCCAGAGAAACTAAGAAAACGCAGTTATTTAATGCAGTGTTATAAGAGAATATAAACGTCCTACTTTAAAGAAATAATGCTAGCAACAATGAATGTATGGAGATCCAAAGTCTCTGTAAATTTTCACTGAAATTAATAATTTAAAAAAAAGAAATGCTATTAATTTTGAAGATTGACACTAAAAATAGAATTGAATTCTATAAGCCTTTGTTTATATCAAGCATTTTGGATTAAATTTCCATACTGAGGTAAAAAAGTAACTGTCAACTTTTTGTTCCTCCAGAATAACTGTCTTTGGAAAACTAGGCACATAAAGAGACACAGATCTTCTAAAAGCTTACAAGAAGCCTATAGGCTTGATCTTCTTAATAAAGACAACATGCCTGGAAAGTAGGAATCAAGAATCTGATGTCTCAAAATGAACATGGACAATTAAGACACACTAGCTCCAAAACTTGCGGAGACCATGGCCTGTATCAGATGTACCTTAGTCTCCAGAGAGACACCACTGCTCTTCAGTACTTTGGAGAGGTCCCTAACAGCAGACTTTCCCATGGCAATGCGCCTTTTAATTTCCTGGCTGCTGGTGCCAAGACTGTTGACTACAGAGCCAAGCAAACTAAAGCTGTGTACAATCTCAATCTCTTCACCATCCATCCTGATGCTGCCAATTGGTCCAGTGGTGAGGATCTTTGTCTTCTTGACATTGAGCCTCAATCCATATTGTAGGCTGCAGTCCTTGACCCTCTGCAGCAGGTGCTTCAGGTCCTCTTCATTTTCAGCAAGCAGGGTTGTGTCATCTGCATAACGCAGATTGTTGATAAATCGTCCACCAATCTTGACCCCACATTTCTCCTCATAGAGCCCAGCCTCC